AGCCAATACCCAGATGTATGAATTGAATCGGTGAACCGAAATCTCACATGGTCATATAGCCAGTCCAATATTACAAATTTGATTGAAATGAAATGATTAACTTCATTACTAAAATGGGTTTAAACATTTAATGGTGGTGTTTTTTCTTTTTTTTTTCTTTTTATGAATCATCCAGTATTTAAAAATTTATTGAATCATTAATTAAATTGAATTCAAGTCAAGTAGAACTTAATGAATGACATAATTTTATTTTATGAATTTTAACAAAATTATATTTTTAAAATTTTAAATCAAAATTTTTTATTAAAAAAAATTCATTACCAACTCATCTAACTGTTCCTGGGTCATTCAATGGTAGTGTGCTTCAACCAACTTTCCACCTAATTATTTTCTACTAATAATTAGGTATTGAATCCGACATTCTTTTTATCAAACAAATATCTCTGACATTAACACGTGATGGCTTTAATTTGCTTCTTCAAAAACACAAAAAAAACTTACTGTAAATGTAAAAATTCTCATACCCAAAACTGTTGGATTGGACTGCAATCAGATATCAGTACTACAGATTAGAGAGTAAATTATAAAGGAATAATAATATTCAATTTTAATTAGGATAGTCTGATTAAAAATTTATTTCCTTAGCTTCATGTTATATTTCTACTCAAATCAACACATACTTTTCACTTTGATTTTTAATGTATGTATATATATAAAAATTTATTTTTACTCATTTTATGATTTTAATTTAAAATTTTTAATATTAAAATTTAAGTATTTATTTATTGAATCACCTTTTAAAAGACCCAAAAAAAAAAATTTATAACATTTCTCGACCTGCGTGTCACACTTGCGCAGGGGCGGGCCAATATGATATATTCTCTATATCATTTCAATTTTATTAAATATATCCACGTAAGGACATGTTTTTAGTAAATGTTAAAAACAACCTTTTTCATAATGGCACGACATATTTAATAGAATTAATAGCAAAGGACGATGAGGACATGTTTTTATAACACCCGAATGGTACTACTGTACTTAGTAGAATCATCTAAAAATTACCTTTTTATTACTGACATGACAAAGTAACTATACCAATTATTATAGCGCAAAGATGAACTCTCAAAAGGGACAGAAAACCCCCCTTTCTTTTTATTTTATTTCAACAAAGTGTATGAGCCTTGTAACCTCAACTTTTTCTGTGCCTGTCCTTTTCTTTTCTCTCTGCATGTCATCCACGTTGGTACTATATTCCAAGGTGTTTTTTGTTTTTTTTTTTGTTTTTCTATATATGTTCACAGCGTCCTCTCTGCGTCCTTATTTCTTTCTGGAAACCACTTGGCTTTCCCTAAATTCTCCTATTCCCCACTTCAAAAGGAGCTTTTGGAGGCTGGGGTTTAGCAAAAATAGGGAGTGAGGACAGCAAAAGTAAGAAAAAAATTGGGTTAGCAAGGTCATGGTGATTCACGAGACAAATAATTATTTAGTTCACACAAAATTATTTTAAGTTTGTGACTGTGTGTAATTTAATTATTATAAATAATTAATAATTATATTATTTAATTAATAATTAATAAAATAATTACTAATATGTTATTTAATAATTTAAGATTAATCTATGTATAAACTAATATTTTAAGTACGCTAACCAATTATAAATTGCCAATCAAATAACTCAAACACATTATTGTGTTTGTGCATTCTTGTGTGAATGGAGTGTGATCATTGTAACACAGGAAAAATGCTAGGTTGGCACAAATTATAATTTTTTTATTTAAAATTTAAAATGATAATAATAAATATTGAATGAAATTAAGTAATACATGAAAATGTAATATTAATTTACTACTTTAACACAAAAAAAAAAAAAAAGAGTCAAGTACAATAGAAAAAACAAAGTTTCTAACTATTGTATTTAAATATTCAAAACCTCTTAAAAGAAAATTACGAGACAAAAAATATAATATTAATTTATTAAATTTTTAAAAAACTAAAGAGTCAAGTGCTGTCTATTTAAACTAACTATTCTAACTATTTCTCTTGATGCTCCTACATATATTCTTTTGAGGATTTCTTTTGCAATTATCAAGTCATTATAAATGAGTTTAAGGTTGTTTCAATTCTTGACAACAAAATTTAAATGTTTTGTTTGAAAGATTTTTTTTTTAATTCAAAATTTGGTTCCAAGATGTGCTTTAGATTGCTTAATTTTTAATTCACCTAATGGAGAAAGTCTTCGTTAAATGCTCAATACAGTCAACTCTTTCATCTCCTCAACTCCTCAGTTTTCTATCTTCCCAAATCTCCCTTCTCCACTACATAATTTCTCATCCATGATATCAAATAGAAAAAAAAAAAAGAAAAAAGAAGAGGAAATCATTTTTAATTATTTGCTATTGATCAATTGTGCCTTTTTGAATCAACTCTCAAATTAGTAAACTCAAATCCAAAGGGATCTTTGTGTTGCATATGCAATACACAAGTATTAAATCTTATTTAATTGTACTTCTCTACTTGAGAAAAAAGAAAATATTATCTGAATCCTTAAATGAAATAATAGTAAAAAAAATGAACAAACATATTTTGGATTATGAGATAAAGATGAATCTTTTAATATTCCTTCTTTTTAATATGAGTATATATTTTTTTGCACCTGACATTTTGGCCTTCTGGCATTAGCCACTTTAATAGGTGCTTCCTCCAGCCCCTTGGGGTTAGGTTGGATCTCCCACCCTTATTTCAAACCTGTTCAAAAAAAAAAAAAATAGTATATACATTTTAAAAAAAAATTATTCTTGTCAATTATCAAATACAATTTTTTACTCAACAAACGCAATTACTTAATTAGAATCTAAAAAGTCATTATAAAATTTAAGAATTAATAAAAAAATATATAATTCAATCTCTAATATACAAAATTAAAAAATAACTCGTGTAAGC